GCAAGGACGCTACTAGGAGCAAAGGGCATCGCTACTAGGAGCAAGGATGCTGCTGGGGGCTCCTGGCCATACTACTAGTAACAAGAAGCACGCAAAAAAGAGATACGCAAAAAAGCATCACAACAGCCTTAGGTCGGAGGCTGTCGCAAGTAGATTGGAGGCCATCCCCAGTAGGTTGGAGGCCATTGATGGCCATTGCTATTAGAAAGAGAAGCTGTCTTCAACTTTCTATGCCGGAAAAGGTGCTCCCCTGATTGCTGACAAAGCCAGGTCTCCACGTTGAGGACCGAGCAGAGATTGATTTCAAAATGTCTTCAGCTTTTAGTCGCCCTTGCCTAAACAAGAAGAGAATTGGCAAAACATCTGTTCTGGCATGGGCATGTCTTGCCAGCAGTGAAGTATGTTTCCGAAGAATGAGCCTCCCGGAGGAGATGACGGCATCCAACATCGCCTTGTCTATGACGATGTCAAACTTGCCTGCCCACTCCTGCACAAGTGAGACTGCCCGATTCCATAAATTGGAGTTGAGCTGTGAAGCTATCGTGCCTCTGGCAACTTGGCAGCATCCACAGCCTCAAACTGAAAGGCTTCCTGCCAAGTTCGCGATGTGGCCCTATTGACCCGCATTCAGCCACGGTGCTGGCGCTAGTGTAAACACAAAGGAAACTATCTCACTCATGGCTGGGATAGCAACCTTATCCTTGTACTTTTCGCGCAATACATCAATGAGCTCTGCCTTGGCGGCATGCAGCAACATGCAGCAAGAAAGAACACAAAGTCTATTCAAATGATCAGTCAAACAGGCACATAATGTATTTATATATTTAGGTTCATGATAGTTCGAGCATGTGATTCAAAGTAGTGCAACTCCGTCGAACGCGCCGTGCTGGCAAGCAACACATTGGTCGACCTTGGCAACTTGAAACTTGACGCACCTTTAAAGAAGTTCCGTTGGGTCTCCTCAAGAACGTCATTCAATCGACTCAAGAAGTCAAGACTCGGACGCACATGATGCTTGAAGCCAAACCTGAAATACGAGAAACCATTCAGTCATCAAGTGTGCATTAAGCCACCGTATTCCACGTCTCTGGCACTTGACCTCCGCATTGACACTATGGTGTGAACATGGTTTGAATCGGTCAAGGCTAAATCTCGGGATGCCGTCCCTGGCGAAATGCAGGTGCAGGAATGCAGGACCACCTTTTTCAGAACAAGCTAGTCACTATCAAGATCTAGGTAGACACCTTCGGTGTTTCGAGTAAGTGTTTGAAAAATGGGCTGTGGTGGAGAATGAGCCGGCGTCGCTGGTGGACCTTGTCGCGTCTCAGTTGTATCCAGCCATTTGGCAGCAACTGCTCCAAAACATCCAGGAGAATTCACATCATGAAGTTCCTCCTTGATCTCATCTTTTATCTCATCCTTAAGTTCATCTTTGATTTCATCCTTTGTTTCATCTTTCGCGTCGCACTTCTCTCCCTTTGTCTCGACCTTGTCACACTTCACCTGTGGACATCCTGTCCGTGGCAGTGCCTCAACATGGTGAGCAAAGTGCTCCTGCAAAAGCAGCGCAGCATCTTCAGCATCATTCTCATGCACCACAAACGGCTGCAACCACAGTGGCAGCTGGCTGGATTTCCTGAAATCAGACGGGAACAAGCACTCCAGTATGTCAGTATGGAAGTCAGCCGACTTAACTTAAAGGGAAATGAACACCAAAACAAACCTCTGCTGAAAAGCGGGATCTAGAATCTAGACTCCAAACCTTGGTCCCACATCTGAGCAGCGTCTTGTTTTGGCATGTGGAGTGTTATCATTTCTCGGTGCCGACGCTAAGTGCCTACGCGCGCTTACGCCACCACAGCGCGCCTACCATTGGTTCTTCAAACATGCCTACGCGGAACATACCCGATGCAGCTTTTCTCTCCCTTGGATGTGTTTTGCCTACTGTTCCATTGGGTTTCACTCTTCTGTGGTGAGCTCGACTATACGACTGCGACTACGACGACCACCACTATACTACTACCACTACCACTACCACCACGACGACGACGACGACGGCGACGACGACGACGATGACGACCACCACCACCACCACCACGACCACCACCACGACCACCACCACGACCACCACCACGACCACGACCAGGACCACGACCACCACCACCACCACCACCACTGCCACTACTGCCACTACTACCACTACTACCACTACTACCACGCCTTACTACCACGACTTACTACCACGACTTACTGCCACTACTATCACTACTACCACTACCACTACCACTACCACTACAACTGCTACTCCTACTATCTCCCACTACTACTACTACTACTACTACTACTAGTACTACTACTAAAACTACTACTACTACTACTACTACGACTACGACTACGACTACGACTACGACTACGACTACGACTACTACGACGACTACCACTACGACTACCACTACGACTACGACTGCGACTGCGACTACAACTGCGACTACGACTACGACTACCACTACTACTACCACTACCACCACTACTACCACTACTACTGCCACCTGCAAGAAGACGTCTGCTCACTCCATGTTTTTGCCAGCAAGCTGCAAGGCAAGACTTGTCATCCGAAAGACAGTTGTGCGGAGACGTGGGGCATAGTGTGTACGCGAAGCCTACGCGAGGCCTAGGCCTACGCGAGAAAACATGCATTTGTGTTGGCAAGAATGGCTTTGCCACAGCAATTTCAAGCACTATCTGCATCGTTTGTTTGCATGTGTGCAATGTCGCGATCTCGTTCCTTGCTGGCCATTGTCCCTCTGAACTGAGCCTCTGTCCTAGCAAAACACTGCAACCATGAGACGCAACACATTCAAGCAATCAAACTTTGCGAAAAGGAGTCCTACGCAAGAAGCCTACGCGAAGATATCCTCCACAAAAGCCTACGCAGGCCTACGCCCCCAAGCGAATTTGCTTACACAAGCAAAACACAGGTCAACCTCTAACTCTATATATACAGTAAATCCTTTCATCTACAAAAAAAAACTCAGCTCATCTGAAAAGACTTCTCATCTTAAGGCACAAGAATCCCGAGCTCCGACCATCGGCTGTCAAGAAGGACCAAAGCACCAAAATCGTGAGGATGTCGGATGCATCTGCCCAAAGCCTGCGCTACAGCATGTAAAGCCTTGGATTCGTACCAAGCATCGCCAGAGACCACACCCAGCCTTTGTGCAAGCCAAAAATCGTTGCAGGCGCGTTTCTGCGCAAGCCGCTCTTCAGTAAGATTGGGAAAGGGAATTCCAATGCATATGACTCCACGTGCAAAATCATCATCAAATGAAACGCCTTCGCTCATTCGCCCTCTGTAAACTGCCAGCAAAGCAGCTTGCCCGCTTTGCATGACAGCCTTTTCATACCTGTCCTTGGCAGCTTGATAGACACGGGCCACAGTTGCTGTTGACGTTTGGCACATTGGAGGAGGTTCCAGGACAATGGTTCCCTTGGCAGCTCGAAGTTCATCCATGATGCTGCGCCCACTTTCCACCGTTGTTTCTGGCAACTCCTCAACCCTCTCAACAGCTCCACGATACCGGCGTTTTGTGCCTTGCCGCCCTCCTTTGCCTCTACCCTTCCTTCGAACTGTCTCACAAGAGAGCAACTTGTCATCGTTGTCGGTCTTCTGCCATGCTTCCAGGCATCGCTCAAGCAAATCATAGGAAGGCAGAAAGACCAGAACTCCAGCGGGTATTGCTTTCACAATTTTCACCAACGCATGCCCTATCGAGAGTAGGAACGGTAAGCGCTTCCACGCATGAAAGGTGCATTCGAGTTTTGAACTTGTGCTGGCAGCTTGCTGAGCCACAGTAACTACTCTCAACGCCTCTGGTCCAACTACATGATTGGCCGCAACCGGCAGAAGTGCGTTGGAATGAAAGGTTGGACCTAATTCAGCAATCGTGGTTGGCAAGGGTGACAACGTTCCGGACATCAATACCAGGGCATGAAGCTCCATACACAATGTCCCCAGAGTTCCTTCTGCGCTCATGAGCCACAAGTGCAAATGAGCTTGTTGACCTTGCCCACCTGGATGGGCGCGAGCTACATACAAGTCTGGGCGTCTCACCGCTGCACCCAACTGTCCAAAGAGTGAGGCAGCAAGTTCCAGCTGAGCGGAAAAAGACCCACTGAGCCCACGGCCGACCAGCTCACGAAGCAAAGCCTCTGCACGTGGCATGTTTCCCTCATTCCGGGAACGCCCTGCACCTGGCTGATTGAATCGAAGCAACGGCTCGGAATCCAGCTTCAGAATCCGCAACAGTGCAGGGACTCGTTGGTGATCCGGTAGGTGCGGAGCGTAGGTGATGGGTTCACGGACATCGGAAATAAAGTTACAAACTCGCTGGAGCAGGCCGGCTAACGGACGCACAGCATTTAGCAGTCCTTGAGACCGAGTCTTTGGAACCAGCTTAGGTCCTTTGGGCTTCTCCGAGGCTTCCGTGACGGTCGCAGGCAAAAAGAAGCCTCCAAGTTCCTCCACAGGAGTGGACTTTTGACTTGTAACCGGTGCAGGAATGCTGGCAACTCTGCTGACTTGCCCAGAGTCTTCTCCTAGGACCCTCTTCACTGCCGAGAGGGCGGCTTTCAGCTGGTCCAGATTCAGCTCGGCCGAGCCGGCATCGCGGCAAACGCTTTCTACATTGTGCGCTTCATCGAGAATCACCACCCGGCTAGTGAGATCAGCACAACTCAGACCGGCCGCCTGCCTCACGGATGGATCCAATATATAGCTGTAGGGGCAAAATACCAGCTCTGCATGCTTTGCCAAAGAATGAGCTAGATAGTAAGGACATGAGTTGGTTGCGAGCGAAAACTCTGCAGCATCCTCAATGTCCCATATCTCGTTTCCTCGGAGCTTCGAAAAAAGCTAGGCGCGGTAGCTCGGACGAGAGCAAACCCGAATGAAACTGGCAACTCTTTTGCTGGCGGGCTTGGCGGCAAGCCTGTCGGATTTGCCCCTCATTGTCAGCTGATTCCAAGACTTGCGAGTTGACACAAAGGCCTGCCTCTCGTGAGCCAAGTGCGGCAACGACCGGACGGTACGGAGTTCTTTCGAGTTCCTTCATTGCTTGCCGCACTTGTGCGTGGGTGCGAGTGGCATACATGATTTGTGGCGCTGTACCGGACTTTGACATACGATGCCTCTGCCAAGCTAGAGCTGCACACAATACCGCAGCAGTTTTCCCGGTTCCTGTGGGACTCTCCAGCACAGCATGCTTGTTCAAAGAGAGAGCCTCCAAGACGCTTTTGATCACTGCCTTCTGAGGATCTAATGGTTGAGCAAAGGGAAACAAGACTTCAACTCCTCCCACCTCAAAGCGACAGCGGACATGATCTGGCATGATGGGACACGGATGGCCACTGATCAGTCCTGGGCCTCTGATACAACCAGAACTCTCTGCAAGTGATAGTGCTTGAATGCGCTCCGCCAGAATATCCACTGGAGTTTGGCTGTGGGCCTGTTGAGTCTGAGTCTGATGCATCCGATCAATTTGACTTGGCAAGCTTCCTTCAGTCGGGCCTTCATGTGAACTGGAAACACTTGGGCGGGACCTCTTGGTGCCAACTGGATCCTCCTTCGCTGCCGCTGCTCTGCTCTGGGACTGTTCCTGCTCTGCTCGGAGAGCTGCTTCCAAGAGCAAACCCTCGTCTACGTCATCCTCCGGGCTGAAGAAGCCGCCGGCCATCTCCTCAAACTCCAGCGCACGATCCACGTCGTCCATGGCTTCTGACAACATGGCCAATTCATTCGTGATGAATTTACCAATTGTTGGAATCGGGAGCCCCAAAAGCCTGTTCCTATTCTCCATCGATGCGGCTGGCACTGCTAGATCTGGAAATGAAATGTGTCTGCTCATGACATATCTGCGCCTCTTTTCTGGAGAGGAGCAAGGTTGTCTCCCAGCTGTTGGCTCTTGACACTAAAATGCCGGCATCACAACTGCAACCCATGGCAGGTAGATAATTATGATTGAAGGTCAAAAACTAGGGATCCAAACTTACCAGTTCCTTGTTGTCCGTTCTTGTTTCGCAATTCCGTGCTCGTGAGTTGTGATGGGCTTCACCATCGGACCAAGCGCCAGGCCATCTGTCAGAAGTTGCTCAGGGATCAAGCTCGTGCCTTGATGCGCAAACATACTCGAGGCAGCCCTCTCAACCTGTCTCGCGCTGGGCCAGGGGCCACATCCAACCATCAGGACTTCTGACCTTGGTTTTACGTTCTCAGCGTCAAACAATCCAAAGTTCCAAAGAGAAAAACTAAAAACAATACTATGGGCCTACCGGCGGAACAGAAACGAATCAGAAGCATGGAACCATTCAGCACAAAATATCTTAGTCACTCTGAGTCCAGTGCTCAGGGGAAAGCCAGGGAGCTAAAGTCTCCTGACACATTTACCACTCTGCAGCTGCGAGCTGTTTCACACAATCAGAATGTCCTTTAAGTGCTCCCACTTGAGGTACCTCACCGTACTGATTTGACACGTTCGGGCACTGTATGGCACTTCCTCCTACGCTGTACTCTAGCATTCACTCAGGGTCCTGCCAGTCAAACCTTGGTTCGCCATTATTGTCTTGTTTCACCGCTGGTCCAAGATGTTTACAAACAAGTTTGCACGCTGAAGCCTAGCAACGGTTCGTTGGCCTTCTCTTTGTAACGCAATGTCCAGTACATGGCATCTCCATACTCCAGCCTTCTCACGGCTAAAATCAAGATGCTGACTGCTCTCGTGATGTCTGCCGTGCACATTAGCCCCGGGAAGCAACCTGTCTGAGCAACTGACCGGGGTGGCTGCTGGACATCTTGAAAGCGTGAGGGATCTATTCCTGCAAAACGACCGATCTGTCCATCAAGACTCATCGGCTGTGGCTGATGCAACCCGAAACGCAACAATGCGACATGATGTATTGGATTTCTTTTGCCCGCCTGCCATTCAAGCTAGAACTAGAATCTGCAACCCATTGAATCTGCAACCCATTAAGTTTGTAAGCTACACTGCATTCATGATTGCGCGTTGTTTTGCTATCTTCTGGCTGTTTTTGGCATTGGACAAACATGCAAGCCCCAGTTCCTGAATCTGTACAATGCAACAAAAAACCATGAAGAGTCATTACAGCTGTCTTGCTGTCTGGCACCTGAAGGGAGCAATGCTGCAACGTCATGCCAAAGCGCAGTGCACAAGTTCAAGTGTCCCAAACAGAGCCGGGACTGAAAAGAATCCTCTCAAGTTCTTCCTCATGCCGCCGATTTTTTTCCTCCGCAATGGTCAGAACCCGAGAGAGAGGGCTCTCTCGACCTTCTTCTCGTCATTCAGCTTCTTGTCCTTATTAGGAACCATGTTCGCTACTAGGGGCTCCTGGCATCGCTACTAGGAGCAAGGACCCTACTAGGGGCTCCTGGCCGTACTATTAGGAACAAGAAGCTACTAGGGGCTCCTGGCACAACAGTGGGCCGTGGAACACAAAACGGCCACCATGCAAACGGAGCAAAAAAGGATCATAGCCATGTCACAGGCACAGCAGGACGAGGACGGTCCTGGCTCAAGAAATCATTTTGGCATTAGCATTGCAAAGCATCTCAAGAAACAAACTTACCTCCAAACAAGCTTCATGATTTCATGTGACCAACTTGCATTTCACTTTCACTGAGCGCGCATGCACATGACAATACGAAGTGACAAGGATTGAATGTCACCACACATGGTCCCACCACACCTTCATGGGATCCTCTGCATACCACTCTTCTGCACCACCATCTTCGGAACCTCAGAAAGTCCCCCAGTTTGTTCGGCACAAAAAACACGAGAAAACGATAAAACACAAGCAAAAGATTCCTAAGTGAGCTCAGTGGCCAAGTTTTTCTGGACATTGGGGAACCTTGCGGTTGCCCTTGTCCCAGCCAAAAGCGCACATGGTGCCACAAACCTCCACACCTAAGCTCAGTCCAGTGCAAGTCACTTGGCGACGGCAAGCCGTCCTGAATATAATATGCTATCGACTGTTGAGATCTCCCAACTGGACCTCTTTCAGCTGGGGCGCACTTTTCACCACGTGACGCGAAATGTTCTTGACCTTAAACCAACAAGGAGGTTACAAACAACTCAACAAACACGACTAAAAATGCAAAAACATGAGGAACCCGAAGTTTTCGACCCTCTCCTTTCCTTTACCCTTCAAAACCTATAACAAACTCCATGCGCTTCATCGGGCTCCCAGCGACAAGGTCAAATTGAAATCATTGAAACAGAAATGACATACCGTGTCTCGCCCTTTTTGCCATGACTGGGTGGGTCGGCTATGACCAGCTGAGCTAGTTGTGCCCACCCGATGCAAAACACAGCAACCAGGCAACTGAGTATCACACAGCAAGCCAAACAGCTGGCTTCCGATGCTTCTTCACAGCAACGTTTCGTTTGCATTCCGGGGTAGCGTTCCCGCATGTTGATGGCCTAAGTACGGCAATTGTGAAGCGCGGCATTGGTTACCAAAATATTGGTAATGCCCGTCAAGCTGCGCAAACGACTTGTTTTTCTTGAAAAGAAGAAAAGAATTTGCGTGCATATATCGATCTTGTGTCCTGACAATCCACACGCATATGCCGTTGACAAACGAAATGCACATTCCCCGTGGACGACTTATACTTGCCTGCGGAGGTCCTGCGCCACAAAAGGTCGCAACTCGGAGGTTATTCCCTCAGCATGGATTTCTTCGCCCTGTGCACCATGGGTCTGGAAGAATGTTGCCACACGTTGTGGCCTATGCATCTTTGGCATCCTCAGTTGCACAATGCCAACTGTTGTATGCAGGAACCTCGAGACATAAACTTTCCGAAGTTCAAACCTCCAAAATTGAACAATCGCAAATGTTGACCAAATTGTGCCATGGGTGTGTGGACAAAGGTCGCCAGCTGCAAATGGCTGCTTGGTAACATGGCATCCTGCCAAGAAACCAAAATGTCAATTTCCAGCAGTTTGTACAAATATATATATATATATAATTCCACATGTCCTGCGGCAACATTTTTTCCAGCCATGCAACTTCTTGCGGAGCCAGGCGTGGCATGGACGAGGCAATGGTAAGAAATATTGCACTTACAAAAGCAGCAACAACAACAACGAAAATTCCATTTATGAACCCTTCACCATTGTATTTGCTGCCGGCAACATGCCCCAACGCTGTGATCACCATGTTGTTTTCAATGTAACAAGCACCGTGCCAATCTTTGTAAACAATGTCCTTGAACCTTGGTCCAATGCTGCGGTTACAACACTTCCCTTCGGGTCACACAGGTGCATAAAAGCCTAAGCAGGACGGACAACTGCAAAAAATTACGACGGGAACTAACTAATTTTTCACGTCAGGCTGGCGGAATCATGCGCAGAAACAATGGTAGAACAGTTTCGCCCGGTCTTCTTCGGCGCGGTTTTATGACACAAAGGGCTGACAAAACTGGACGAATTGCAAGGGTTGAAGGACAACAATTTGAAACAACATGGCAAATGATCGATATTGGGGGTGGGATGTATGTTCTTCAAAGTTTGACTTGAGCCGGCCTGGGGCTTCGTGGCTTGCCACCCTTAGAGGCTGGTTTGGCCGGGCAGTTTTTTACTATCGCAATGATAGGCGCAAGGGGGGCCGGTCACATGGACTCAGTTGGCTTGCCCGGCGTGTAAGCAAAACAACTTATGCAAAGGTTTTGAGTCAATTTTTTGCCGAAACGCTTGGAACCCCGCTGCTGTTATGAACGATTTCCTTGCCCTGCCCGATCTGGATCCAAGTCATGGAGGGTTCTAATTTGGATTGTTCCCCATTTTCAATCCCATGTTCTTCCATATCCCACGTGTCGACAGGAACCACGGTGCCTTCCTTCACTCCCTCAAGCCGAGCCAATGTGCTTCGGTTGGCTGCACCACAACACCAGGAAGGTGCAAAGAAAGGAGGGGGCTTACTTGGCTGCTGCACTTGGGCGATGTTCCGAGGGTCTTTTGACAGGCTTTCTGCCACACACCTTTTTCCATGTTGTTGTGGCTCTGGCAATTGACTGGGGGCAGTGGTAGCTTCAGGGTGTTGGGCCAAGAGTTCCCCAAAGAGGGTGGAGAACCCCGGCGAATCTTGCAGGAAGCGGTTTTCTGCAAGGGGCTGCATGGCGGCTTGTGTCAACATGGCCAACCAGCGGGAGAGCAAGGCTGTGCCGAGGGAGGATCTCAAAGTGCCGGCGGGGTGCCCGAACTGGTGAGAGGGGACACCAAGTGGTGTCGATGGCGTGCTGGACCCCATTGTACATTGTACAGGATGAGGCCATGGCGGCTGCCTGTCGAGGTGAGAGGGCTGTTTCATATCAGACAGAAAGGTGTGCGTGGTGACCCGTCCCCCGGCTTCCCGACGAATGCGGGCAGCAGCTCTCTCAAGGGGACGCTCCAGAGAGCCCCAGTCCGGGCGCACGCTGCACGATGGTCGCCTACGCGATGGCATCGGCAGGTACGCTCCCAAGGGGAGCGGAAGGCAAAGGCGTGTGAGCAGGTTTGTCCGGGTGAAGTTGGCAGGGTGGGTTCGGCTGGCATACGGGCCCGGCTTGGGAAGCCAGAAGGGCGAGGAATTTGAAGGCGGGCCGAACACCTGCGTTCCAAAAACATATCATTACGCCATGGTACTCTCAAGGAAACCAGTTGCTAAAATAGCCAACATCAGGAGCCTAGACCCAGCCCCATTTTAGCCAGAGCATTTCGGTATCGGTATCACTATCCGTTTTTGCCACCTCATTTGGTGTCTAACATCAGGTGGCTTCCACGCAACAACCCAAGCTTTTGTTCCCCTCGAAGAGAAACATGTCAGGCAAGGGGCGCGACGCACAGCGGAAAAAGGTAAAACAGGCGGTTCTGTGTCACGTGTTGGGGCAACCACCACGCCTCGCCCCAGGATGGGGAGTCCGCTGCACGGCGACAGAAAGCATACTCTGCTAGCGGTGGTGGGGGGAACGCCCGACCGATCCCAGCCTTCAAACCCAAACGTCTCTCCAAATGGCTCGCTGGCAGGTAGTACACCTTCATGTTTTCGCAAAAAATTATCAGCAGAATTGATTGAGATGATCAAAGGAAGTTTAGTGTACGAAACTTCCGTGTTACGGACATTCAAGAACTGTTCATACACCACTCATCAATACATCACTCATCATACACCACTCATCATACACCACTCATCATACACCA